ACAGAACAGAACCAACATGAATGTATGCAGATATCATTCATTCAAGATTTGAATAACATAATTCAATACACTTGATTTTTGAAAGCCTCTTAATTCTAAATACAGCAATTTTTCTTTCCTCTATGCAGATATCCACCTATGATTAAACTCGCTCATAAGAAGAATAACAGCTCACGAAGTTACACAAAGCAGCAGTGTGATTGGATGATAGTTAACACATATTGTGTTGGACACATTTGCATTTTTTCTTTTTTTGTTGTTTCAACACATTTAACACAAATTGACAAAACTTGTTAAGAAATAACATTGTTTTTTTGAGAGTGTACTTTAAATACAGTAATTAATAATTGTATTTATGTTATTTAAATAGTTATTTACATGGGTAAAATAGGGCAGTGGTTATGCTGAGCTGTGTTTGTGCAGGTTTATAAACAGAGAATGTATTAAGATGTTCTAAGAGCAGTATTTTTTGCATTCAAACTCCAGAAAAGATCCAAAAATCTCAAAGATGTAAAACGAATCCATATGAATCGTAAATTGTTTAGTCAATTGTGAATAAATATGATCACTTTATATGATTAACAGATTGTGTATCATAAACAATGAGCGAAACACATAAATGGTATGATCACATATGGTAAACTTGGAAGCTAGTGCGTGCGCCTTCAGAACCTTTTTGAATCTTTAAAGTTTTGGTTACTTCCAATGTATGGACAGAAATCTCACAGGTTTCATTAAAAATATATTTAAATTTTTGTTTTGTTTTAAATTAAACAAAGTCTTATGAGTTTGGAGCGAAATGAGGGAGAGTACATTTTTCTCAGGATGTGATGCATGTTTAGAAATACACCAAATAAATAAAATGTAAAACACAAAAAAAAACTAAAACCAGTGTTTTTAAATGATACAAGTGAATTTAAGCATCACTGCTCTCCTTTGCTAAAGATATATTTCTACATTATTAATGTTGAAGTGAGCATTATAGAAGACAGGGAAGAAAATCTGTATATCTAATGAGTGTCCCTTTAACCCCCTCAGACCTGAATTATGTTTCAAGTTTCTGAAAAATAGAAAAGTACATTTTACCAGCTCATGAGGTTTCTATAAATTAAAACAAATGAAAAAAAAAATATATATAATCCCTTCCCACGAACCCACTATTTGTCCAATAACCCACTATATTTTTTAAAGTTTTTCCGCAGTTCATTCAATATGCTGCAATTGGACGCGGTCCCATCGGCACTCTATTGAATGGGGATTCGGTAGTGTTTTTGATAGACATTTTAATTAAAGTTCCTGTCATGATAAAAACTATTTTACTGCACTCAGAGAGGCCCCCTGAGTCTGTGGTACCAAGCGCCATCCCATAATTCCACCGTCCACAAACCCACTATTTTTATACTGGCATAAATGCTACATGGGATGTCCATATCTCAGCCCTGGAAGGGTCTAGAGCCTCCATTTTTGCACTCAGGTCTAAGTCTCATGGCCCTCTATCAGAATCCAGAGTTTTGGGAAGATTGGAGAAACTTAATTTTTCACCCAAAAAAAAAAACGTAAGGGGTACCACTGTCGTTTTTTTTTTCGGGCCGAATTTTTGAGTTTCGATATCTCAGCTCTGGAAGGGGCTAGAGCCTCCATTTTTGCACTCATGTCTAAGTCTCATGGCCCTCTATCAGAATCCAGAGTTTTGGGAAGATTGGAGAAACTTAATTTTTCGCCCGAAAAAAAAAACAAAACGTAAGGGGTACCACTGTCGTTTTTTTTTTTTGGGCCGAATTTTTGAGTTTCGATATCTCAGCTCTGGAAGGGGCTAGAGCCTCCATTTTTGCACTCAGGTCTAAGTCTCATGGCCCTCTATCAGAATCCAGAGTTTTGGGAAGATTGGAGAAACTTAATTTTTCGCCCGAAAAAAAAAAAACGTAAGGGGTACCACTGTCGTTTTTTTTTCGGGCCTAATTTTTGAGTTTCGATATCTCAGCTCTGGAAGGGGCTAGAGCCTCAATTTTTGCACTCAGGTCTAAGTCTCATGGCCCTCTATCAGAATCCAGAGTTTTGGGAAGATTGGAGAAACTTAATTTTTCGCCCGAAAAAAAAAAACGTAAGGGGTACCACTGTCGTTTTTTTTTCGGGCTGAATTTTTGAGTTTCGATATCTCAGCTCTGGAAGGGGCTAGAGCCTCCATTTTTGCACTCAGGTCTAAGTCTCATGGCCCTCTATCAGAATCCAGAGTTTTGGGAAGATTGGAGAAACTTAATTTTTCGCCCGAAAAAAAAAAACGTAAGGGGTACCACTGTCGTTTTTTTTTTCGAGCCGAATTTTTGAGTTTCGATATCTCAGCTCTGGAAGGGTCTAGAGCCTCCATTTTTGCACTCAGGTCTAAGTCTCATGGCCCTCTATCAGAATCCAGAGTTTTGGGAAGATTGGAGAAACTTAATTTTTCGCAAGAAAAAAAAAATCAGTAAGGGGTACCACTGTCGTTTTTTTTTCGGCCCGAATTTTTGAGTTTCGATATCTCAGCTCTGGAAGGGGCTAGAGCCTCCATTTTTGCACTCAGGTCTAAGTCTCATGGCCCTCTATCAGAATCCAGAGTTTTGGGAAGATTGGAGAAACTTAATTTTTGCCCCCCCCCCCCCACAAAAAAACGAAAGGGGTACCACTGTCGTTTTTTTTTTTGGTCGAAATTTGGAGTTTCTCTGATCTTCTTGAAACTCTGGATTCTGATAGAGGGCCACGAGACTTAGACCTGAGTGCAAAAATGGAGGCTCTAGACCCTTCCAGAGCTGAGATATTGAGATATTTATAATGGCATAAATGCTATGTGGGATCTCAATACGTCAGCTCTGGAAGGGTCTAGAGCCTCCATTTTTGTCCATTGTGAAATGCTCCAGAAGTTAAAAAAAGGGGGCTGACATGTGATGTCCATTGTAATGGACACAGGGTCTGAATGGGTTAAAAATGGAAATGGAAAAGATGGTAGTTTTCAGCTGTCCTCAAGTTTTACCTTATTTACAGCCATTGTGCAGAATACTGAAGATATTTCCTCTAGGTCAGAGAAGACAATGCAAAAAGAAAGTGCAGAGTGCTGGAATGACTGTAAACACGTGAGGCTTTCATGTCATGGAAGTATTCAGGGATGTGACTGCAATTTAAGGCTTCATATGTGACATATTTTCACCTTGTTGCATCTATTCAACAGAAGGCCCAGCTCTGGAACCTGGCTCATCCCCATCAGACATCAGCCTGAAGGTGCCCTCACACACAGAGCTGCGGCAGACCGTGTCCTCCATCTCTTCCTCCTGCACCGACACCGTCAGCGGCGTGACCGAGGGTCCGGATGAAGAGGATGGCAGCGAGGAAAGCTGCAGCGGAGAATCCCCGCTGGTCCAGTCCGATGAAGAGGAGGTACATGCTGACACAGCCCTCATGGCCCTCCCAGAAACAGAGCCGCTCAAAGGCTCAGACGACAGCGACACACAGGCCCCCTAGTGGCCATGCAGGGGGAAACACACTCGCTCAAGTTGGTTTCAGGACATGAAAACCTGTTTTACATGAGTGTCCCGACAGAAGGAGTGCTGATGTCCAGCCAGATGTTTCTTCATGGCTGTGTTTCGACCCTTTGAGATGAAGGTTTTGGAGCCTTGTCGAACAGTTTTTGCTCAGCCTTGAGAGCAGCTCTTTTCAGACTGTTAGCACTGTGATTTTTGCTTCATTCTTTCCCAATACAAATAAATCAACACAATGTATGATACAATTCTTCGTATTACCTGCTGCATCAGAATTATATAGAAATGAATAGACATTTTACAGTGTTCCTGCTAATATCACTGATGTATGTTGCATGAATTTGTAATGCAGAGCTCATTTTTGAGCCGATTGAAAGACCCTGGATATTTAAATAAAATATACCTTGAAATAAGATGGGCCTCACGGACATTCCCAGTGAAGGACTGATATTTCAAATCATAGTGATTTAAAGAAAATATCTTCCATTAAAGATTTCACAGTCTCCGGTATAAAAATAGCTGGGAACATTTGGACCATCTGTGGTTGCAAAATTTACAGTCTCCCTGTACAGCAAGCTGTTGCTCTGAAACCCTGTTACCTCTGGGGAAAAATATGAATTATCACGGCACCTGCAGTAAGAATGAGGGTTTAAAAGGAAGAGTAAAAACTGACTGCATGGCTTTTAAAACTAGGCATGTTCTGCCGTTATTAGTGCATTAACGTTCAAAAGCTTTTACCTAATTTTTTTTTTTTAACAATGCATAAGTCTTTACTGTCACTTTTGATTAATTTAATGCATCTTTGGTAAATAAAAGTATTGTTCTCTTTAAAAAAATACTGACCCAAAACTTCTGAATGTTAGTTCTAAACACATATTCAGATATACAGTATAACACATTTTATAACATTAGTCAAAATGAACTACCAATAAAAATTTACTAATGCATTATTCTATTTAAAATCAATTCATATTATTTAATGACCTACACTAACATGCACATTGCACAATGAACAGTTGCATTATTTTAGATATATATATATATATATATATATAATGTAATATATTTATTGCACATGCTTTTTCCTCTTTTTTTACATTTACATTTTTACCATCATATGTTCAAAGGAAATATTTTAAGCACTGTTAAATGTAACGTTCAAATTCTAAAATGGACTTTTAGTATCCGTGCATCTCCACAAAGAATGAGGTCTGTACATGTTTGGAAGGATTGACAAGTGATTTATTTATTAAAACAAAAAATATACAAACTTGAAAATTTTAACAAAAAAAAGAAAAAAGGGGGGAAAAAAAGTAACCAAAAAGCCTATCCCCACTGGACCGGAGGACTGAGTAACAGTGCATACAAATAAACAGTACAGGGATCAGGAGTATCACTGTATAAAATGGGGTGAACAAAAGAAAACAAAACATTTTAAGGCCATAAAAAGTATACAACCACATTTTGGAAACACTTCAGTTTTTTTAACCTTAAATACAAGTTTGTCATTTGGAAAGGGGTGACTACCATGTTTGATTACAGGACTTTGATACAGTCATAGCAATGGGTATCTAGGCCTATGACAGTTTAGTTTTGGGTAAAAGATTTTTCCTTTTCGAATAAAAAAAGTAAAGCTAAAAAACTAGGGATCACCATTATGACATACTTCTCAGTGATTTAAGCAGCACTTATTTGTGTATGTTTTTTGTAGCAACCCTGTTAACATCTATTTTATATCGATGAAGAAACCAATGTAGAAGTAAGGCTTTTTCTTCATCTCGAGACTCTCTCATCCAAACCCCTAGAGACCCGAACTCAAAGGCTCAATTTACTGGCATATAAACATATTTGGGGCTTTCCGTTGTTGTTGGACATTAGTATTTCGCTATAATATTCTATCAAAACAAAAGAATATTTAAAGATTTGATTCTTAAACGGCAGAACAGATGGAGAACCAATAACAAATATAAAGTCAGCGGGACAAAAAGTTAGTGGGATAAAAGGGAAAGTGCATTTACAATTCAAACAGTACAAACTGCCTTCGTGTTGTTTGTACTCCAAAGAATTTAGTAAAAGGCCTCAAAATGTGCTTTTAAAAGTGGGGAGTCTCCAGATGGGAATTCGCGAAGGAAATCTCTGATCGGTACTGTCAGAAACGACCACGGGCTCCTTCACATGTCAGATCTGTGTAAAAGTGTCAAGCCTGTACAGTTTTACCGAAATGCCAGAAACTACGATATGTACCGTCTGACGCATCGGCTGCAATCTTACATGTTCGCTCTTGTTCCTGACAGCATTAAGACGTAATAAACATGAGCCCAAGAGACAAACAGGCAGTAAGGGTGATGGAGAAAAGTGTCACTACAGCACCAGTTAAAACACAAATGATAGGAATAGTATAGGATATATTTATATCTATGTATACGCATATCTATACTCGATTTAATGCTAAAACAACCCGGAAATACTCATCTAAAAACCAATCTCAGTACTAGTGCAAAAGGTTTCGTGCTTGTTGAAAAACCAATAGTTATGTCAGGTGCCCTAAACAGTTATGTATTCGCCTCGCCCCCTTGTATTTGCCGCAAAACACGATGTAACGTTTAACCTCCGTACATTCAATATATTGGTCTAACCAGCCAGTCACTACATGTATCTGTAATACAAAAGTGCAATATAACAGCTTGTTGTTGTATTGATATTATACACTAGGTACAAAGAGTATTGAAGAGAGTTTCTACACAAGTATTAGGAACACCTGATATAAAAGGAGAGCCGCAGGAATGTTGCTGACGGTCTGGTCTGGTTAGGAGCGGCCGCTGCTCTTTAAGGAGGAGCTGGAGAGGGGGACCAGCGCTGAGCTCTTGTTCCTGGGGCTTCGTTTTGCTGGTGTCTTGCTGGGACCGACGGCTTTCTGCTTCACTCCACCCTTCTCCAATGCTCTGCCACACACTCGATTTACCAGACTGTTGATCTGCTCCTGTGCAAAAGAGTGTGGGATGAATGAGGTTACACATTTGCTTTGAATAATATGCTATTCCAGGACAGGACTTTAATCTCGAAACGTTTCAACATTAATTTGGAAATTTTTCGACTTTAATCTGGAAATGTTTCGACTTTAATCTGTAAATGTTTCGATTTTAATCTCTAAATGTTTCGACTTTAATCTCTAAATGTTTCGACTTTAATCTAAAAATTTTTCAACTTTAATCTCGAAATGCTAGATTTTTTTTTTTTTAGGTTGCGGTTCAGGGCTTCCGTACTGCATATTTATCCATATAATGAAAGTCAGTGGGGTTCAGAAAATGACAATTTCGTCATCAAATTTGGAGTTTTCTGCAGAACATCTCTGTATTTAACATGTTTAAATTATTTCAAATATTTATCACTGTTACAATTTTCACTGTATTTTTTTTTTTAATCAAATATAAATAAATATTATCGGCCTTGGTGATTCAATTATTGATTTTAGTTTCTATTTTGTTTTAATTTTGTTTTGTTTTAATTGATTTTAGTTTTAATATGCTGTAGTTTTAGACACTACTTACAAAAAGTAGACAGTGTACAGTTAATTCTATTCCAAATGTACAATGTACTCGCTGTAGAGAGTAAAGTACCTCAGTGTAACGAAACATCATCTTGAGGCCACGGGGAGACCTGCGCTTCTGGATGTATCGAAGAGCACATTCCAGACAGAAAACCACATTATCACTCTCGTGAACAACCTGTTGAAGAAGACAGAGGTGAGAGAATACATGATATTTGCAAATATGACGACTTATAGCATAGCCAGAACAATTACCCAAGGGGAATTCCTTCATAATTTAAGATAGAACACACACTTAGGGTACTTCAACTTATTCCTTTACACCCTGAAATGTAAAATATAAAGTGAGGAGTATTATTGAATATTTACCATAGAGAGGTAACACAGATGCTGGCACACTTGGCAGCGCCTGTCAGACGTGTCTTCTGTAAATCTCAAGCGTTGCTGCTTCTTCTTGTCTGCATGAGACTCACAGTGAGAGCCGTAGCGTGCAGACAAACGGAGCCCGGCCTCGAACAGATCCCCGCGCTGGCTAATCTCTGCATCCCTGAAAGAACGGAACAGGAATTTTAAGCAACTTTCTAAAATTCAGCCTCAACTAGTGTCAACTAGCACTTAAAGAGCTTTAAATCCTTTAAATATTCATTTCATGACACTGTTAAATGTAATCGCCACCAAACCTCAAAATGAATAAACATTTTTATATGGTACATTAGACCATTGTGATACCTTAATTCATTTGAAACATGTAAAACTGTCAATTTAACTAAATTATTCTCACAAAATAGTATAGAAATTTACTATATATATATATATACACACACACACACACAAAATTTACAGGTTTATCTATCCGTGTTATTTTAACATCTGTTATACTAGTGCAAAACTTACTCGTGCCCGTAGCAAGACACTTGTCAAGTTTGAGATCCATCGGACTAACGGTTCATGAGATATGTGATTAACAGACAGACACACACACACACATACACACAGACAGACATTCCTGTAATTTATAGACAGATTATTGCATGTTGTTGCGCCAAAGTAACATACCTAGATCTACCCCCTATTATTATAATTTTTGTAAATTATGTGTTGAATTGTTCAATATGCTCTATGACTGGTAATAAAATGAGTGGAAATATTTTTTTTCTCTATTATTTCATATATCATGCAATAGAGGGTTATAAATATCTCAATATCTCAGCTCTGGAAGGGTCTAGAGCCTCCATTTTTGCACTCAGGTCTAAGTCTCATGGCCCTCTATCAGAATCCAGAGTTTTGGGAAGATTGGAGAAACTTAATTTTTCGCCCGAAAAAAAAAAAACGTAAGGGGTACCACTGTCGTTTTTTTTTCGGGCCGAATTTTTGAGTTTCGATATCTCAGCTCTGGAAGGGGCTAGAGCCTCCATTTTTGCACTCAGGTCTAAGTCTCATGGCCCTCTATCAGAATCCAGAGTTTTGGGAAGATTGGAGAAACTTAATTTTTCGCCTGAAAAAAAAAACGTAAGGGGTACCACTGTCGTTTTTTTTTTCGGGCCGAATTTTTGAGTTTCGATATCTCAGCTCTGGAAGGGGCTAGAGCCTCCATTTTTGCACTCAGGTCTAAGTCTCATGGCCCTCTATCAGAATCCAGAGTTTTGGGAAGATTGGAGAAACTTAATTTTTCGCCCGAAAAAAAAAAACGTAAGGGGTACCACTGTCGTTTTTTTTTCCGGCCGAATTTTTGAGTTTCGATATCTCAGCTCTGGAAGGGGCTAGAGCCTCCATTTTTGCACTCAGGTCTAAGTCTCATGGCCCTCTATCAGAATCCAGAGTTTTGGGAAGATTGGAGAAACTTAATTTTTCGCCCCAAAAAAAAAAAACGTAAGGGGTACCACTGTCGTTTTTTTTTCGGGCCGAATTTTTGAGTTTCGATATCTCAGCTCTGGAAGGGGCTAGAGCCTCCATTTTTGCACTCAGGTCTAAGTCTCATGGCCCTCTATCAGAATCCAGAGTTTTGGGAAGATTGGAGAAACTTAATTTTTCGCCCGAAAAAAAAAAACGTAAGGGGTACCACTGTCGTTTTTTTTTCGGGCCGAATTTTTGAGTTTCGATATCTCAGCTCTGGAAGGGGCTAGAGCCTCCATTTTTGCACTCAGGTCTAAGTCTCATGGCCCTCTATCAGAATCCAGAGTTTTGGGAAGATTGGAGAAACTTAATTTTTCGCCCGAAAAAAAAAAACGTAAGGGGTACCACTGTCGTTTTTTTTTTCGGGCCGAATTTTTGAGTTTCGATATCTCAGCTCTGGAAGGGGCTAGAGCCTCCATTTTTGCACTCAGGTCTAAGTCTCATGGCCCTCTATCAGAATCCAGAGTTTTGGGAAGATTGGAGAAACTTAATTTTTCGCCCGAAAAAAAAAAAAACGTAAGGGGTACCACTGTCGTTTTTTTTTTCGGGCCGAATTTTTGAGTTTCGATATCTCAGCTCTGGAAGGGGCTAGAGCCTCCATTTTTGCACTCAGGTCTAAGTCTCATGGCCCTCTATCAGAATCCAGAGTTTTGGGAAGATTGGAGAAACTTAATTTTTCGCCCGAAAAAAAAAAAACGTAAGGGGTACCACTGTCGTTTTTTTTTCGGGCCGAATTTTTGAGTTTCGATATCTCAGCTCTGGAAGGGGCTAGAGCCTCCATTTTTGCACTCAGGTCTAAGTCTCATGGCCCTCTATCAGAATCCAGAGTTTTGGGAAGATTGGAGAAACTTAATTTTTCGCCCAAAAAAAAAAAACGTAAGGGGTACCACTGTCGTTTTTTTTTTCGGGCCGAATTTTTGAGTTTCGATATCTCAGCTCTGGAAGGGGCTAGAGCCTCCATTTTTGCACTCAGGTCTAAGTCTCATGGCCCTCTATCAGAATCCAGAGTTTTGGGAAGATTGGAGAAACTTAATTTTTCGCCCGAAAAAAAAAAAACGTAAGGGGTACCACTGTCGTTTTTTTTTCGGGCCGAATTTTTGAGTTTCGATATCTCAGCTCTGGAAGGGGCTAGAGCCTCCATTTTTGCACTCAGGTCTAAGTCTCATGGCCCTCTATCAGAATCCAGAGTTTTGGGAAGATTGGAGAAACTTAATTTTTCGCCCGAAAAAAAAAAAACGTAAGGGGTAACACTGTCGTTTTTTTTTCGGGCCGAATTTTTGAGTTTCGATATCTCAGCTCTGGAAGGGGCTAGAGCCTCCATTTTTGCACTCAGGTCTAAGTCTCATGGCCCTCTATCAGAATCCAGAGTTTTGGGAAGATTGGAGAAACTTAATTTTTCGCCCGAAAAAAAAACGTAAGGGGTACCACTGTCGTTTTTTTTTCGGGCCGAATTTTTGAGTTTCGATATCTCAGCTCTGGAAGGGGCTAGAGCCTCAATTTTTGCACTCAGGTCTAAGTCTCATGGCCCTCTATCAGAATCCTGAGTTTTGGGAAGATTGGAGAAACTTAATTTTTCGCCCAAAAAAAAAAAAACGTAAGGGGTACCACTGTCGTTTTTTTTTCGGGCCGAATTTTTGAGTTTCGATATCTCAGCTCTGGAAGGGGCTAGAGCCTCCATTTTTGCACTCAGGTCTAAGTCTCATGGCCCTCTATCAGAATCCTGAGTTTTGGGAAGATTGGAGAAACTAAATTTTTCGCCTGAAAAAAAAAAACGTAAGGGGTATGTGATGATGAACCTGTAGGTTATCACCATGTGAACATCCGTTCACAGTGTTGTTGTTTACATTGTCTTTTTGTTTAATGTTATAATTGTTTTCATATTGTTTATTTTTGATTAAGGATATTATTTGTGATTATGTATCTGTTTGGATTTAAATGCAAGAACACTGATATTGAATGTTTCCATTGTCAGGGGAGTTATTCGACCCCTACAGTTGGTATGACCCACTAGTTTTGGCGGGAAAATAGCATATATAAAGGAGTGAGGCTAATTGAGTGGGGAGAGACGGGCCATGTGCCAGTACTAGTACAGTCCAATGCTGTAGGATGTGTCGTGATTGTCAGAGGTTTGTTCCTCGAGGCTGGATCTGATGCCATGTTTTTGCTGCTTTCAGCATGTTTTATTTATGTTTTGTAATGTTTATTTTGATTATTTTTTTGATGATTTCTTTTGTTTATTTTTGAACTTGATTTGGAGCACGTGTGCTGAGACAGCTGTCCTCAATAAATTCACCTTCAACGATTTCCTGCATGGTACTCCAGTTATTCCATCCTTTCCCGGGCCTATCGGCAGGTAAATTGACGCAACGACTCAGGGTAATGGTATTCAACTAGACCTCTGACAACAAATCAGTGTGGCATTCTAACATCAGGCGGCTGTAGTTGAAACCACATCCCGACACATGGTGGCAGCGGTGATTCCAGGCCTTAAAAGGGAAACGAGTACACATGCAGTGGAAATCATGCTGCCCCAGCTGCACATCGTTTAAAGGAAAGTGGCAGAGGTTGATCTCTGGTCAAAGGGAAAATGCCACCAAAGAGGCAAGATGGAGCGAGGGGAAAAGATGAGGGTAAACCAGCAGAGGAACTGGAGGCAACGAGTTCATCTCCAATGCACGATGAAAGGACTTCAGGTAGTACGTCAGAGCCGATGGCTATAATGCTGCAAAACTTTCTGCATAGCCAACAGCAAAGAGAAGAAAGGCTGGAAAAAGAAGCGCAACGTCACGAGCACAAATATCGGATACTTCAACATCAATTCGTACAACTACAGTCCGAAGTTCACCAGGAAAGACAGGATCGGCTGGCAAGGGGGGTGCCAACAGTGAGTGACACAGAGGCTACAGAGTTGAGGTCGGATGCAAATACACGTCCCAGGCGACAACAGGCACTAAGTGATACGACGACATCAGCAGCAGATGAGGTCACAACGGGAAGACGAGATTATGGTTTAACAAGTTTTAACTGCCCAAGGATGCTGCCCTGGTCAAGTGATGAGGATATTGAGCATTATTTAATGACTTTCGAACGTATTGCTCAAGCGTGCAAATGGCCGAGTCAGGACTGGGTGTTACATCTCCTGCCGTTACTAACAGGTAAAGCAAGAGCAGCGTATGTGGCTATGGAGCCTGAGAATTCAATGGACTATGATTGTGTTAAACAGACGATACTTGACAAGTTTGAAATTAATCCAGAAACCTTTCGGCAACGTTTCAGAGCGTACAGTCTAGGTGATGATGAAACACCACGTGAACTGTATGTGAGACTGAAAGATCTGTACGAAAAGTGGATGGTCCCTTCACGTCGAACTAAACAAGAAATTGGTGATCAAATAGTACTGGAGCAGTTTCTCAAATTGCTGAACCCAGAAGCAAGAACGTGGGTGAAGCAGAATGGCCCTACATCGTGTCAACAAGCGGCAGAACTGGCAGAGACATTCATGGCTGCGAGGCGATCACTGCATCAGCCGAGACGATGGCGAGACATCCACCACAGCCCAACCGGTAAGTCTGGGGATGCTAAGGGTAGTGGTCTGAGAAATTTTGATGCTGATAGACGGACATTGCAAAATAGTTCTACTCTGAGTAACAGTATGCGTGCAAGTGGAGTTAGCCAGTATAACAGAAGGTCT